AATTTTATAAGTAGTCTTATTTAATATTGGGTGTCTTAATGGCTGAAAATGGATAAAAAGCAGTTACATTCTAATTTAAAGATTTGAGATTCTAGTCAAAAATAAAGAACATTCCTCCAAATGTTCTTTAATGTGATCATTATAATTCTAATGCTTAGAACTTTGTTTCTATTGTCTGCAATGCGTAGCCTATATCTTTATTAAATATGTGTTTAGCTGTAAAGTGGTAGTTCTCTCTAATGTGTACAGAGAGGTGGACATCAGTGCTGCAGTGAAATTCCCAAGATCAGTCTGCTTTGCTAACAAATATAGTTAAATCTTACCTGCATTCTAAATAAATACCGTTAGGTGAAAACATCAGTAGGCATTGAGTTATTGATACAATCCCTAACAGCCAGAATGGAAGAAGAGCATGCTGGGTCATCCTGGATCTGAGCCTGTTCTGTGTATTTACCTACAGGATGCAATAAATGTCTACAAGGCTGAGTTTGGACCACTACATCTAAAATAAAACAGTCAGTGATTTTTTAAATTGTTTACATTAATATACAAATTTTCTAAGTATTAACCTCACAGCAAATAAGTAGAACAATATAATAAACAGGCTTTAGTAGTTAAACAGGCGTTGTGCACACAGGTGCTTTGTGTCTCGGTGCTGGTGGTATCTAGGTCTCAGAGTTCCTGTTCTCCTGCCGCCTTCTGTTGTCCTCAGGATACGGATTGATGTTTCCTGATGATGAGGGAGGGGCAGTATGTGGGCTTCAAACTGGTCCTGGATAACAGTGGGAGACCTCCGTTGTCTGAATACTGAGACCAGAGGGTTGGTGGGATGCAGATCTTCTCTACCTCATCTAGAAACGGAGTTGGTTCAGGGAAAACTTTTCCAAAGACCAGTTCCATGATGTCATCGCCATATTCTCCAATGATAGACAATAACTTTAATGACATATTTTGTTTACAAGCAGCTTTAGGAAAGTTGGTTCTTTAGCTTTCATGTTTATAGTCACGTTTGTGTTTGTTCACAAGTTCACTTTGCTGCAGTGACTTCATATTTTCTTACAAATGTAATAAAATAGTGACACTAAAATTATACAAATGACTCCTTATGAAAGGAAGCTCATTAGAGAGCAGCGCAGACAGACTTACTACATGCTGCAGCTGTTTTTGTAGGCCAGCTGCTGCTGAACTTGGGGAAAGTTATTCTGCACACATCCAGATCAGATGGTTGTTTACAGAAAATAATGTAATTCAATAATTTCTAAACAGACTAAACATGTAAAACATCAAATAAATCACTCTGCTGTCATCAGACGGAGTGATACAGGGGGTGAGGTGTTCTTAATGATGAGGATGGCTGAGGTGTGTCATCACTCACTTTGGTCTGGTCCAGCTACCATCTCTTTACTGGTGGGTCTCCTTCCTCAGTAGGTCACGTGAAGCTCCAACATCTGAACGTTCTGTGTTCCTTAGAGGAGAAGAAAAGTAACATTAGCAAGCTGGCTAAATTATTTTTTACTAGCATCTCAAGGCCTTGGAGAAGCAGATCTTCACTTACCTAAACATCAGACCAGTTTGTCCCAGCTGAGCTCATCAGGGCTTTAGTCTGACAGCCTGTCAGTGAAACACGGCTCCAGCCTTCTGGATGTGGACTAAAAAGCAAAGGAACATTTTTACTTTTGTTTTAATTATTTTACAGCCGATTTTATCAGCTTTCTGATGCTCACGCTCATACAGACGGTGAGCTTTGCTGCGTCTGACTGATGCAGAGTTAGTTTTTATATATGCAGTGAGACAAAAAACTAGCCTCACTCCACTCAGAGATTGTTCTTTAAAACTATTAAATCCACTGTGTTGACGCACTTTAATGACTTTGTCACGCTGCATTTTAGCTGATATGGGACTTTATTTACTGGATGCTAAGATTACATCACACTCACGTAGAATAATACACAGGCTCTCTGCTGTTACAATCAGTGGGAGGTTATCATCTGGTGTAAAAGAAGGCGTTGATCAGAAATCACGTTTTATTCCACGAAAATCAGCCAAATCCACATTAATCTGGGTGCTAACTTTACTAGCATACTGTGCTAGCAATAGCAAGCCGGATGCTAACGCTTTAGTGCTGCTAATGCCCGTAAATCTAAAGTGAAGTTTGTCGACATTTTAGAGTGATATGAAGCTTACCGCTCTGCTGCTGTGTCCCGTCGCTGCCACATTCAGATGGAAATGACTCCTTTTAGATAGATGAAGCCCTCAGTACTTACTAGCCTGGAGACACGAACGAACCACGTGCGCGCGCACACACACACACACACACACACAATACTTTTTCTTCTGTGTTTTTTTTAGCAGTAGTGTCATCAGCTCCTGGGTTTAAATACTGCCACACCACCCTTCCTTAAAACGAGGAACAGTTTTGAGCTGTGTGTGGCTAAAATAACCAGACATTCTGCATTTTTCCAATAGGACTACAAAAAATCTTAGCGAGAAGAAAAAATGGCGGATTGGCACTGTGTTTAGCCGAGGGCCATTACCATATTTGGTAATTATCCTGACGAAATAAATTACTGATGTAATAGATAATTTGAAAAACTGAACGGGTGGACAAATATGCCCAAAACTTAATTATTAAATATCTAAATAGCAACTCCAGTGAATATTATAAGCCTTTTTGCTCACTTAGACACTTAAAATGTGAAACACACCGTGTTAATGGATAAAAAAGTGGGTTTTTCATGTTATGTCTCCTTTAATGCTATGATTAAAAGAAAGACACTTTTTTCATCATTTCTTATAAAAATTACGTGTAGTCACTTAGAAGGACCAAATGAGGATTTTTTTTTGCATAATGTCCAGATTACAGATAAAATTTCCTTCATTGTTTCTTTGTTTTTTTTTTATTTAATTTCCTTTTTTTTTTGTTAATCTTGGACTTAAAGTAAATTTAAGGCAATCACAGCTTTTCAGCTGTGTAAGCTGAACACCATATGCAGCACATAGGTACCTCACTTCCAATAACTGATATGAAACTCCTGATCATGCCAGAGGATGGCAGTAGAGGCTGAGAACCACAATAGCAGGAGATTATGCCTTTACCAAGGTAAAAACAAAACAGTTTTAATAATATAAGACAAACAGAAAACAGATATAGACATGCTTACATAAACTAATTGCTGTTAGACTACGTAGATAAAGTTTGTTTCTGCTAAATTCAATAAAACTTCAAAAAAGTGAACTTTTGGTGCATTTATCACAACTCTAAAATTCCAGCTGCATTTAGAAAAACGTTTAGTAAAAAAATACTTTTAAAGTGCTTTTTATGTCTTGTACATGATTTGCATTTTTTGAGTCACGCTGAATGGCTTTTCTGGTGCATTTCTCAGATAACTTCTCAACTCCTGTGCATCTGGCAGCCCTCCTTTTTAACAGCTCAGGTGGTGAAAAACAAATGTGACGAAGGGGTGCTGACCAGGGTTCTGTTCTCACTGCTCCCAAGGCAAAGAGGCAGCAGTCGTAACATTGCCAATGAAATGAGAAGTCCTGACACCATTGTTTATGAACAGAATGGTTAAACAACATTTTCATGTTCTCATCATGACATTTATAAACAAAATTCTGATTTGTTCAAAGCATTGTGCAAAAGCAAAGTACAAACGTGCGCACAACAAACATAAGAAAATACCTCAGGGTAAAGCTGTGCACAACTGGAAACAATAATGGTACATCACTTTTCACATCCAGACATACATGACTATTGTTGTTATCAACATCAACCAAGAGAAATTGTTCAATTTGGGAGAAGATTGCCGGAAAAATTCTTTAAAAAATGCATAAAACTGATTGACATATAGTTCAACATTTTTGTATCAGTTGACTCAAGCAAAAAAAAGAGGACAATTTTTTAGAGAGTGATTATTCATCCTTCATGAGTAAAATTCATTTGGACTGACATGACAATAAAAAATTATATGAAACAGCAATTAATGCATAACCAAAGGTGTTTGTAATTTGTAGTTTGTTAGAAGGAGTGAGAAACTGCTATGATGATGTGCACAATTGACTAAGGGAATTAGAATTTGGAATAAATTCACCAAAGCAGTTGAGAGAAACTGTGATTACATTTGTTGTCCTGAAATGTTTAAATCAGACATATAAGAATAACAATAAAATTGATGGATCTTTTTGTCATTTTCTAATCAATAATTTGAACTCTGAGTTTAATTGCTACATTTAGCCCTTTGAGATTTTTTATGGAGGACGGGGCATCAGAAATTAAATGCATCGATCATCACTGAAACAAGAAATTAACAGTTTTATTCTTCAATGAAAAATAAATAGTGTCTCAATTGAGGGTGCTTTTTGCTATTTTTCTAGTACATTTTTGATTATTTAATTTCAAAATTAATTTTTTCATATTCAGAAAAATCAAAGGCTATTCAACAGTTTGAACTTCCTTCTTGTACCTCCTGTCCTGTAAATTATAATAATTATAATAAAAAATTACTTTAAAAAATCTACTTTACATCATTTACATCATTTATATCACAGTGTTTTATCACTTTGATGGAAAGGGCATTTTTTGCAGACATTTATTATGTTACAGGGATGTCACTAGTATTGAAAGACAAGGGGGGCTTAGCCCCCAGGGTTGGAGAGAAGAATTGGCACACAGCGAGAGCTGACATTTCTTCAGTACAGCAAGTACATCATTTTACTTGAATAATGACAACTAGACTGTTTTTCATTTCAATTTGTAGTCGCCCTGTTAGTTATTGAGACCTTGCCAGCACAGTTATTGCTCTTGCACGAAATATATGCAAATAAAACTGTATGATAATAATAGATATTTTAGAGGTGTTTTGCATCTCTGGAGCTGCTGAACACCTAATCACATAATTTTTGTTGTATGTTTAATGTGTAAAAATAACAGGTAATAAGTAAAGGCATCCAATTGGAAGAGGAGTGCAGGCACAAGGACCCAGCGTCCTCTGTGCTGCTCAGTCGACTGTTTGTGTTCTTGGATATTTGTCCAAACAGGAGTTCAGAAGCACAGTGTGTGTGTCCATTAAATGACCATGGAGACACACTGGTACACACTTGGTGTTGTGACTCTACTGAGTCTATGTGTGCATTCTTATGCACTGTTTGCCAAACACGATGGTAAGTCTGTTTTTTTCTTCAATGTAAGTACCATTCACCTGTCTGTTTCACAGTACTCGTCTGAAATCTTACTGCAAATGTTTCTTGGCTTCAGCATTAACCCGGCTCTGTTTTTGTTTTGTGTTTCTCCTCTCAGAGCCCCCTCCAAAACCAGGACAATGCCCAAACACGCTTTACACTTTTCCATCACGTTTGGGATGTTCCAGTGACCAAGACTGTGAAGATTATGAAAAATGCTGCACCTATAACTGTGGGTCTGTTTGTGTTGCCCCTCATTACAGTGAGTGGTACCGACACAAGCAGCTGTTGGGATGTTGGAACGAAGCATGAATATTTATTTAAAAAGGAAAAAAAACAGATTTAATATCTCTCCATATGATGCCTTGTATTTGCTTTCAGTAAAAGCTTTGTGTCCTGACTCGAGTGGGACCGGCACGTGTGAGCAAGAGTGTGAATGTGACGACGACTGCAAGCGTGGTAAAAAATGCTGCTTTAATGGATGCGCAAAAGAGTGCATGCCACCAAAAATAGGTGAGTTAGGAACAATATGGCCACATTTCTGAATGATCTCTCCTGGAATATGTTATAACTGAGTGGTTTTATCTGTGGTGTGTCAGTGAAGCCGGGGTTTTGCGGTTTCCCAACCTTCTCTCCGTGTGGAGTAACCTGCCTGGATGATGGTTATTGTTCAGGGGATGACAAGTGCTGCCCATCTTTCTGTGGTCATTTCTGCAGGATACCCATGTGATCACACATATATTGTAAATTAGCAAAAATAATACAATAAATGGTTTATTTTTCTCTTGTTATGTTTGTGTTTTTTTTTCTTTAATTAGTATGGCATTTCAGCATCTGAGCATCTGCACCACAAAATTATTAATTATTCTTGAAGAAAATCAGTCTTTTAAATCATGTTTTAAAATTATGATGTAGATAATTTAACTTTTGCAGTAGACGACTCTCATCCTAAAATAAGTCTGAAAAAGTGATCAGATCACTGAAAAACAAAGTGATTAGTTGATATGATGTTATTTAATATTTGAGAAGGAAATTATTGTTTGGAAATAGGAAAGTGCTTACTGATCTTTTTTTACAGAGATGGTCAAGACATTCAAAGTTTTATTGTTGTTGCTCTATGAAGCTCATAATTTGTCTCTTAATTGTGATTTCATTATTTCTTCATAACTTTGTAGATCACAAAGAAATGTAAACAAACAAACCAAAAATAAATTAATTAATACAATCAAAAAATGTATATGTCAATTAAAATTATTATTTAAAAAAATAAACTTTGCTTGTGTTTTTCTTGGATGGGGGGAGGGGTGGTTAAATGTGACATCAAACATGCACACATATGCAGAACATTGTATGCAAATACATAAAGATTTGCTTGAAAATTATTATTATTAATAATATTACAATTTGTTTGTGCATTATTTATTTATTTAGTTGGATTAAACATATTTTATTAACAGCAGTGAAACCTGCATGAACATGTCAATTGTTTGTAATAAACATCTAAATAAACACTTTGAGTTCATTTTAAACACCGTTTCTGCAGGAAATTAAAACATGTACACAATGCATGTAATAAATAAAAAAGTTGGAGAGTGCAGCTACTGCCTGATGTTTCATCATATATCACCCTTCATATGAATCCCAATAAAAAAAACTTTTATTTATAATAGCATATGCTTTAACAAAAGGCCTACATCAGGTTTAATAATCTGTACAATAATTGTAAAGTTTGTGAAAGTAAGACCAGTTTGCAATATTTTAGGAAAGTTTAGATACTCAAAAGATAAAGTGCATGGCATCATCATGCTCTGTTCTGCTGAAATGTATGCAGCTTTCATAGAATTTGAACTGGATTTGTATGAAAACTGAAACATATACCACCAAAAACACAAATAAAGGCAAAGTCCAAATGTCTGTGACCTGATAAGATTCTGAATGTGTGGACTTTTACACCAGCACCCTATTTGCCAGGGTATGTTTAATCATCTCATTTGATTATTGGTCATTTTGGGACATTTTGACCGAATCACTCTGAACTTTCAGTGTCATTTTATCTCGTTTATCTCCACTGGCAGGAAGACAACAAACAAAAGATCTCGTAATAAAGCTGATGTTGGCAATATCTGGGCTGAGAGCTCATGTGTGGAACACAACAACAACAACACACACACACACACACACACACACACACACACACACACACACACACACACACACACACACACACACACTGGTTTATATGGCATAAACATATTATGTGTTGTACAATCATTAAGTCGACATAAAGCATACATGACTTTTCTGACCCTAAACAATGTAAATGTAAAACAAGTCTAAAATAATAAAGGCCATGACCATAATAAACTGATTATGACGTAGAATGAAAACCAAGCCACAACTCAGAAATTGTCACAGCATGTTTCAGATTTTAATTTGCATTATTTCAATGTAAACTTTTTCAAAAAAAAAAAAAAGAATGGAAAGAATTGGATGAATTGGCAGAAGTAACTCTACAGACACAAGGACCCAGCATCCTAGCTGCTCCAGTTACACTATATAAGCCAGGGGATTCCCAAACAGGACAACAGGGGCAGATTTCTGGCTGAGACAAATCATCATGGAGACACTCAGGTCTAGAAAAGCTGCCTTGATTTTGTTGTTTTGTGCTTTTGTTCAATCCAACGCAATAATGCCAAAACCTGGTGAGTGAGCTTGTTTTTCCCCACGTGTGTTATGTTCATGTATGATAACCCGACACTGATAAATCCTAACTTGACTCTCTTCTGAATCCAGGTAACTGTCCGAGCACCTTTGATTTGTTTATGGAATCGCAACAATGTAATTATGACAGAGACTGCCCAGGAAATCAGAAATGTTGCAGGTTTTTCTTCAGATCTGTTTGTACCCCTCCAGTTCCAAGTAAGAACCTTTTTTTTAATCTTGTTAAATCCACTTAGTGAATGAAATTGTAGAAGATATCTCCCGACAGTTTTACGAGGAAAATCATTATTTTCCAAGATGATATTTTCATTTATTAAAGTCTTCGCATTAATTATTCTTTCTTTCCTCTCAGCATTACCAGGCTGTCCAATGCCTCCAGGGTTTGCAGCGAATCCAGTGGGGAATTGTCTTGAGCAGTGTTCAAGAGACTCGGATTGTCCTGGTGACGATCAGATATGCTGCTTTAATGGATGTGGACACGTGTGCATGACTCAGACAATAGGTGAAATATGACCAAAGGAGTTAAATTCCTAATATACTGCCACACTGCTGCTAAATATAAAGAGGCTGAATGTTTCTGTTTTGTTGTTCCTCAGTGAAGCCAGGAAAATGTCCTGACGACTTCTTCGTCCATCGATGTCGCACACACTGTGCAAATGATGGTGATTGCCGTGGTGAGCTGAAGTGTTGCTATTCATTGTGTGGCAGTGAATGCAAATACCCCGTGTTTTGGCCCCCGATAGGCCGCCGCTAGGTGTGCAATTCTTATACTCTTTAAATACTAATTTGTTGATTTTTTTTGTTTGCTGTTAATGAGGAAGCACAATATTATCATTATACTATCATAATATTGAGGAAACACAAATAAAATACAATCTGCAACACAGCGAACAATTGTCTTCCCTTTTGTTGTTTTTAACAGCCACTTGAACTCCTTAACACTGGGGGGTGGGCAGGTTCACATATGTTGCCGACAGCAGCACGTTTAATTTAAAAGTGGGGTAGAATGAGTCAATTTGCAGTTTCAGTTGAGAGGTTATTTTTTCCATTTTGTAAATGTTCAGCGTGATATTGATCCAGTCCTCCATTGTTGGATGATTGGGCTTGAGCCACTTTTTAGTGATGGCCTTCTTGCTTGCAGCTAATAGACTATAGAGAAGTTTCCAGTCTTTATTATTGAGGTTGTCCGATTCTATAGTCCCCAAAAACAGTGTTTCAAATGAGAGGGTGAAGACCATTGAAAATACATTTTGAATATGTTGGCGAATTTCTATCCAGTAACTTTGGATCCTATGACAGCTCCAAAAAAATGAAAATGATTTGCTCCCTCACTACTGCATCTCCATCATGTCTCTCCCTTTCCCCGGTAACTTTGCTGTTTTGGTGGAATAAAGTAACGCATTGTATTTTTCCAACAGAATTCACGCCAGATATTTGACCTTGTTGAGGCCCATGAAATTTTACAAATATGATCCCAGTTCTCCTCGGTAACATTAAACCCTCCTTCCTTTTCCCGTTTTTCTTTCACGTAGTACGTGTTGTCCCCTTTACTTTTCAGAAGGCCCTCATATAGTTTGGAAATAATATTTGTAAGGGGGACTGTTTTCGTTAGTGAGATAAAGGTTTGTAAAAAACCTTGGTTAGTTAATGGAATTGTAATCTTCTGATTGAAATAATGCCTGATTTGTAGATAGTGGAAGAAGTCATCAGACCCCAACCCATGTTTTTGCCTCAGTGTCTCAAATGATTGGAATGCCCCCTTGTGGATGAATGAATTATAGCTGGTTAACCCTTTGGAGATCCACATCCTGAATCTGTTATCATGTTGGTTAGGTGTAAAATCTGAGTCAAAAGCTGGCCACCGCAAACTTTTAGATTCTTCCTCCAAGCTGCACCTTTGACTTGTTTCTTTCCAGACTGATATTGCTGTTTGTGTAGTGTGCTCATGAGGGAGCTTAAATTTGGATTGTAGTTTGGGATCTGCTGATAGAGCTTTAAACGATACCTTTTTTATTAATGTCTCCTCTATATCTTTCCATCCTGATGCATAGGTTGGAGAGAACATGCACACGAGGGGTCTCAACTGGGCAGCGTGATAGTACTCCCGTAAACAAGGGAGGTTCATACCACCCTTTTCCTTTTTTATTTGTAAAGTTTTAATTTTCACCCTGGGTTTTTGTATTTCCATATAAACCTTGATAATATTTTATCCCATTCTGCAAATTGGTTTGAGGGTATAGGAAAAGGTAAACACTGAAAAAAGTACACAATTCGGGGAAGGATGTTCATTTTAACACAGTCAATGCAAGAATATACTGTAGGTCTAGAAAGCGGATGATGTTCCATCTTTGCATATCCGATTTTATACTTGCTGTCAAGGGCCTATGGTTAATATCAAACGTTTTTGTGAAATCTTTGTGTATTGAAATTCCCAAATATTTCAAGGTTCAAGGTTGTCTTCATTAATCCCCACAAGGGGGAAATTGAATTGCCCTGGACAAGTAAAAAACAACAACAACATGAACACACACACAGCAAAACATTCACTGGACACAGCTATAAGCCACAACCATGATAGCATGGACGTCACTAGGATTGAGATATAGGGGTGGCTTAGCCCCAGGAGCTTGACCTTGAACATTTTTTTTCACACCCTGAAAAAACTTTGTCAATTAATTCATTATCTGAAGAACATTTAACAAAACCTATTATTTTATCACTTTCTTTTCCTTTCCTACCTTTGTGCATTTTCTCTCTTCTTTTTATAAAAAATAACACTTAATCAGCTCATTAGTGGGGTTTATGTTGAAGAAAGATTTTATATAAGTCCATTAAAAATTAGATATGTTATATTTCCAAATAAAGCTATTCATTTCAGTCTACTGCACTTAAAAGGGGAAAATGTTGCAGTCATTTGTTCAATTTGTTTAATTACAACTTGCTTAATTATAAATGTTACTGAAATATGACAAAGAACAAATGAATAATTTTCAAACTTTTATTCTGCCAAATGAGTGTGCAGTTGACAGTTTTAATATATGAATAACAATGATATGATATGGAATAAAGG